ATGGTGAGATCCGTCGCAAACTTACCTGTCCGCTAACGGGTTTTTTCCGAACCATCTTCCACCAACAGTACACCTACCTGCCTAGCTACTGTCGAAAATCCTGCCCCCGTCGGGACACGATCTCTTCGCCCTCCCGGTCATTGGTCCCAATGACATCAATTGATCCGCTGATCCATCTAAGCCGGTTTGACGAATTCGGGGCCCATCTGCGGTCCATCCGGGCGTCTCCACTCGGAAGGCACAGACCCTCCACCTGTTTCCTTACTGCACCCACCTCGACGCACGTGACGCTGAGGAGCTAGTCTCTCGGGCCGGCGTTTGTCGCTCCCCGCCAGGAGATCTGCGTCCAGGTAGCGCGTTCGCCGAATTCCGTTAGGTGGGGGGGGGGCGCGGTCCTTCCCAAAAGCGATCGACCGTCGGGCCGCTCCGTTGAAGCCGCCTTCGCTGTCAGGTGCGTGGCCCCGGCCGCCGTGTCACCGCCTGTGAGATGAGGGTGGATTCGAAGCGTGACAGGCAGCTGGGATATTGCACACACGGCCACCTGTAGACTGACTAGCGCAGCCGTTCTCACACAGTCTGTTACGTTCAGGGACGTGGGAAGCATTTTCGTTGGAAAGGGGAAATATTTGAACTTTGAAACAGCAATATGTAAACTATATGTATCCTAAACCATATTTACGGGAAATATGTTAAAGTTTGCTTTTGGTCATTGTTAAACAAGTTGGGCCCGAATTTTATGTATTATTCATATGTATGATAAAATTTTAAGTAAACTTTTCAGTTAAAAATCTCTTGTTAGACGGATTGTAACATTATATAAGTGATTATTATGTGAGATATAAAAGCGAAATCCATTTATGTCAACAGTAAGGTATCGTGGGAAATACGAGGTTATGATATTGCCGGGAAAAGTTATGCAATTATTGAGGAATCGCATGAATGGTCCAGGAAATGTTGCTTTCGCTTCTCATTTTCTGGGTAAACCCTGCGGCTTTCTGTTCTTGATCCTAAAAACATATTTTGTTTCGTGCGACCTGTAACTACACAATTTTGATAGAACGACGATTGTTTACGATTTTAAAATATGTTTGATATATTTTGAGGGCCATGGTGATTATTATTTGCGTAATAGTTATCTAGTATCTCTTTATACATTAAGACAGTTGCTGCAGAAGAGAGTAATGGGCGTCAGAGAACAAATTTGGGAGACAGGAAACCGTGGAATGTGGAGGCGTCTCCTCTTTCATAGTGCGTCACAGATGCCTAATAGGTAAGGCGAGGGGGAAGCGTCTCAATAATGGGTTCTTTGATCACCATGAATCATTCAGCCGTCATAAAGAGGGGAAATATAGGGAAACCCTATGGTGTGTGCGTCTGGAATAATTCTTATGAAAACGTAGGTGGAACGACCTTTTGAATGAACATTGCAAGAAACAAAAACTTTCACAAGTTGTGCAGATCGTGAGAGTAACCTGTCATTATACGTCTGTCCACGTATGATACGTGTGTTCCGTTTCAGCATGTCTTTGTCGATTTTCGACGGTTGCGCGCGGTGTAATTTTCGATGTTTCGTTCTCCCTCTTGCTTTCAGCTGTGAGTGGTTTCTTCCTGCTCACAGGCTTGTTTCGTGCCACATCCTGGCGGATGCAAACTCACCCAGATGCCGTTTCTGCCTGCTTCTATCTTCTCTCTCTCTACCCCCCTCTCTCCCCCTCTCGCCCCCTCTCTCTCTCCCTCTCTATCTCTCAGGTTTAAGACAATTTGTCCACTCTAAATAGTGCTTCATGATTTATCTTCTTTCGAACGTTTCGTGTCGTGTTTCAAACTTCAACTGTTTTGACACAATCGCTTCATTAGAAATCGTTATCCTTTCTCTCTAGAAGATTTATTCTTCTCTCGTTTTCGTGAGTTTGCTGGCGTCTTTCAATTTTGCCTGTGGAAATAAAGTTCAGAGAAGTGACGAAAGATCTTGGAACATTTTGGAAACGAGCAAAGGCGGATATCCGAAATAGGCATACAGGCGCGACCAGTGAATTGCGAATGTGCAAAACACTCATTGTAGAATGTATTCCCGCCTTTATGTGTAATGTAGTTTCATTCTCTCTCAATTCTTTATGGTTTTCGCTTATGGTTACACGTCCTTAACTTGTAGAACGTATGTCTGCCTTCGTCTTTTTTACAACTTTTTCCTTTGAGGTTAGTGTTTGTCTTGAGCATAAACAATCACAAAATAATACCCATCTACTTCGTGAAACCAGCTGATCTTACACGTTTTCAGGATGTAAAGCCTTGACAGAGACTCAGTCAGTTTATCGGTTATGGTAGAAACCAACCCAAAGCCTTCCGAGACACGCTCAACAAGAAAGTTGAGAAGCATGTCTTGTGGAAGTTCAAACCCCCGTCGTTTGGGGCCGAAGCTGTGGATCGGAACCTGGCGACCCCCACCCCCTGGCAACCAGGACATTACGTGAACGTGAAAGCGAACAAAGCCTGGATTCGCGTCTTGCGGATCGTGAACATGGAAGCGCTCGCCTCGCCTTTCGATCAATTGTCCACGGCCCATGAACATCCCTCTCCGCACAATGCGCTTTCTTCTGTTCACGCGGCGGCGAATGACCTTTGCGTTCCCGCGCGCCTTCCGCCTGCTGCGACGGACGCGCAGGTGCGTCATTTCCGGCGGCGGCTCGCGACCGCAGCGCGGGAAGCCGCTACTGGAGGCGCCGCCGCCGCCCCCGGATGCGCCCTGGTGGGACTCGGCCAGCCTCTCCGGCGCATCGTTCTCTTTTCGTCTTCGCGCAGATCTGGTGGGGAGCTGCTCCGATATCTCAAGTCTTCGTGAACAAGGTCCCTAGAGTTGCGCCCCTTGCATGAAACAATAGGAATCTTCACAAAAATGTATCCATTGATCCTATCCCCGAATATTATTCCCAATTCTTTTTTAAAAAATCTACTAAGAGTGTTCGGATTACCCCATCCTTAGGTCTTCTTTAGACCAACCCGTAGAACATCCGATACACAATCACCTCTTTTTCTTCATTTTCCTCTCGAATGCGATACGATGTCGCAATCAATAATCCTCACATCAGTAATACGCAAATATTTACTCGCTCTCTTGAAATCAGCGTTATTTAATTATTATTTATAATGGAAGTTGCCGTAGCTATCCGCTTTGTTTAACCCAAGTACGAAATTATTCGCTCTTAACAAACCACATGGCCGTGTGTAGCTTTTTCATTAAATTTTAAAAACAAATTAAAAAGGCAATGGGTAATCTACTAGCGTTCCCACTGCGCTGTGCGGTTAGAGCTCGCCATGAAAAAATGAAAAAGTGTTAGTGAAAGTGGATTTTCCATTACTTTTTTGTTAACATCGCGTTCTTATCACCGTCACGATTCCTGGTTTAAAAGTAAACCCGGGAGCTAAAAATCAAGAATAAGAGAAAAATAGTTAATTTGAATTTACAATATTTTCCCTTAGTAATAATGTCGTATTCTGCCTAGGAAGCAACAGAAACAGATCATCGATGACACTATTGGATTGGCAACGTTTGCTCTCATTAATTTCCTCAAATCGCACAACATTTCTTCAACTAACGTGATGATGTTGAATATTCCGTAATGTTAGCAAAAGCTAAATTCCTGCTGTGAGTAACAAACATTCCAATAAAAGTAGTGTATACAGAGTACTTGTCATGTGTTTGCAGTGGGAGGACATTTCAAGGGTTGACCTATTTACTAACGGCTAGTGTGTGGAAATTCTTGGGCAAGGAAACAGCGAAAGTGTCTTCGAGGAAGTGCGGTCGGAAATACTGTGATACAGAAATCCTTTAAATCATGAATATATGAACTCAGCGCTCAGAGTTACATACAGTAAATAATCCTCTTTCTAGTTGGAAACGCATTCCAGAATTGTATGGAGAAATCACGTCATTAAGAAACACTGTCATCAATTAAACGAATTGCCTTGAAATGTTACTCTAGTACATCTTCCCACGGTACCCTACAACAACGTTTTACTTGTATTTCTATTTATCGAAAGATGAAATTACTTTACAGCTTCGCGTTTTAGTGTGTCGTATATTTCCAATGAAGCAACTTTGTTCTACTAGCTATAAAGTGCGAACGGCGTCTATTAAACTGACTCGAAGACTCCCTGGAGCCGCGGCTGCACTTACGTGGAGTGGAGATGGCCTAGGGCGAGGGGGGAGGCGGTCGTTTCCATGGAATTGCCTTCGCCGACGCGTAGTCTCATCCTCTGCGCGAAGAAGCCACTTCCGGTGGCGTCGCGTTGTCGCCCGCCGTTGGCCCCCGAATGTGGGGCACCGTACTCTCTAATGGGGCCTGATTCTTTCGACTCTCCACACAATGGACTCTTGTGTCGGAAGCGCGCGACACGGAATGTTACCTAAACACTCTTGATAACACAACTGTTTCCCACTGCCCTACTGAACTGCCCAAATGAACGCTCTGGTTTGACGATGCCACACTGGTGTGTCTAACAGAACACGTTCTAGCACGTTGCTACAATATTTTTTATCTACTAAAGAATAATTAAAATTAAGTATTTGTTACTAATGTTGTCTTCGTTCCTTTTAGAATACTTTATTCTATTTCCTTCCACATTTAGCTATTAGTTATGCTGAACTTAATCTTTGAAATTTACCATTCTTTATTCGTTCATATTAGTGTTTATTGCTTGCTTCGTGAGCCCTCATCATACTCATTGCGGAAATATTTTTATTCGAGATATTTGTTCTAATTCTTTCACGAATTCGTACGAAACATAACTTCCACGCTTAAAGCTGATGTATGTTATTTAAAGACGAATTACGCTTATGTATGGGTACAACAGTGAGCTAAAACCAAAACAACTAAACAAAGAGGACTCGTTTTTCGAGTCAACACAGCGTTGCACAGAATCTTTAGTGGCGGATACCAATTTTACAGATTTCACTTTTTATTAACGCACGCATAATATTTCATTTCTTTAGTTCCTTCTAGATGATTAACCTCAGTAGTACGTGCTCACGGTATGTAGTAAAGACACGCAATTTATCCATGTGGCGTCCTTTAGGCGAGTATGTGTTTATCGCAGGCTGCATTCCATTAGGCGTCCCTCTCTCCCCGCGAGCGAAGTGCGCTCGCAGGGAGTGGCGCGCCTTGGCCCGCGAGCCGTTACTTCCGATCGGAGTGGGAATGCCGCGTCGTGTCTGTCGCCTCGGCGCTAGCGGCGCGCCCGCCGCTAGTGGACCCGCGCGCGCTGTGTGTGTGTGTGTGTGTGTGTGTGTGTGTGTGTGTGTGTGTGTGTGTTTTGACTGCAAAGAGAAGCGGCTTAGACGCAGGTGTTCCCTGTCCCCCCTGCCCCCCTTGCTCACGGCTGCTCCCTCGCCCGCTGGTCCACTCATTCGTTCTCTCCATCGAAGCACCTCTGCGTGGAGTACATACTATCTTGAGAACGTTTAAATTTTGGGGTTTCTGTTAAGTTGGCAGGTGGCCAACAAGGAATCTAGGTTTATGTATTGCGTTTACGATAATGAAAATATGTGAATTTGGCCACTATACTTGTGGATTAATTAACTTGGAAGCATATTCCATGAGAGTGATTTGAATTTTACTGTAATCATCTTTAATGATCTCACTTTAGTTACATGCTTCTTGTTTTGCCGATAGTGAGCTCTGATTTGATCCGTCCAATCAAAAAATTTGACAATCATTGACGTGGTTTATCATGTCAGTTTCTTCTAAAATGCTTGGCGACGAGCATTTCACTATGAGGGTGACCTAGGTCTGTTTAGATCTCCTGTTAGGTTTATCTGTACAAGCAGTTGGAATATTCCATCGCCGCTTTGGCTCATGTCGTTTTCTTTTCCTCCCTCCGTTCAAAACTTCAGTCCTCCTCTGATAGCGTCCCACCGGCTGAGGTGGCTCAGGGGCATCAACTGATGTGTCTCTGACTGGGACCTCTGCCGGTAGCAGGATCGACACTCGATAGATATCTACATCGAAATCAACCGTTGCCTAGAATAGAATTCTAGCGGCCGGCTGCTCTGGTCGATGGTTTTCCGTGGTTACTCCCCATTAATACGTGGCGAATGCCGGAGCAGTACCCTAACAAACGGGCCACAGACCACACGATCTTTCCTTCCCCTTTCCTTGTCTTATCCTCACCCCTTACCCACACACTTACAAACACTACACCGCGCTCACAAACGATACACCTCTCGGGAGCTTGTTCCGGGTAGGGCTGTACCCCGTTGGTGCAGATATCTGGATGGGAAAACCGACATTTAGGTCGGCGCCGGATTTAACCATCCGGGAAGACACCACAACCTCCCGGAATAAACCAGCATTTTGCCATATTTAAAATTGTGTTTAATTTACAGGTAGTTTGGTAGGCTCTGCTGTTTGAACGCGCAAGCATGCTAGTACTTATTAATAATTAGGATAAATTAAATCTACATAGTTAAGGAACACAATTCTCGATAGGATCTTCATGCTTGATTTAAAAGATTGATTTTCTTTGCTTACATACGGGGGTTCATTCCCACATCCCAGTTTACTTTATACTAATGAAATTCAGAATGCTACGTCTATTGTTTTGAATTACTGCCTTATATGTTAATCGATTTTGTGCAATCTTGATTTATTCCGATTCGTTTATCGGATTGCTCATGTTAAATGAAGTCGAAACTCCAAAACAGGTGTAATATTTGAAACAATCATTACGGACAGAAGCTGTTATGCACCTGCGAATCCATTCTTTTAACTGCCCTTCTTTGAATTAAAATTTGGCTTGCGGAAATGGCTTGCGGAAGGAGCAAACCAAGTGACTTGAGACTCTCTCACGTTAATATAATGTTAATACGCATCTAAGGCCGTATAAAGGTTTCTAAAGATCGAGTTGTGCCAGTTAAACGTCCGCTGTAGCACACAGTGATCATTTTTACCCTAAATTTTATTGATTCAGATTTACGTATTTTTTTCTAACTTCATGACGAAATGATAACTGACTGCGTATGTCGTTTCATTTTTCCCACCCACAATTCTCTTTCATTAATACCGTCCGTTAAGGGAACATGTGCGTCATTCAAATTGTTTCGTATTTCCCTCTCACGCACGAATTCTCTGCGTCCAGGTACCTTATCCAACATGTAACGAACTCCGAATCAAAGGAAATACAAAGCTATTATCAGTAAAAAAGAGAAAATATTTTACTTAATTGTATTTTTTTTTATTTTGGAATGCCAGAAAAGCAACAGATCTCAGTGTGCGGGTGAGCAGGCCGTTACCGCGCAGTTCGCCCCGCGTTGATGTTCCCGCCGAACCCCAGCCTGCTTGGCCTCTGGCCGTCGCGCTGGCGCCGTCCGCGACGCCCGTGGGCGCCGCGAAACCGCACGTCGTTTCCTCTGCGGCGTCGGTCCGCGGGCGCTTCCTGCGCCTCCGCGGGGGGGGGGGTGCGGCTCGCGGCTTTGTCCTGTTCGGCCGCAGGCCTTCCGAGCTACCGGCAGGCGGAGTTATGCAGGCGAGGCGGCGCGGGCGCGGGGGCGGCGGCGGGCGGCGGCGGGCGAACGTGGGTGAGCCGAGCGCGGTTATGTCAGTTGCGGAGGGCGAGGTGATAAGACGCGAGAAGTGCAGTGCGATACACGACACGTCGAAGTGGGGCGACTGTAGAAATCATAAATTGAAGCTTATCGTTGCATGTTTCCGTGCATGTCAAGCTGATACAGTCCGCTTAGCTCCCGTAAGTGTAGCGCCATGTTTTTATGGCC